AGAGGTGGTAAAGTTGTAACAGGTGGTGGTGTTCACTGCCCCCTGCTGGTTGCTTTTTTCAGGCTTCTCTAGTGAGACTGTTATGCATTGTTTAAAGATGTTATCCTCAACATACTCTCACTAGACACTTTATTAGATAGATGCTGCAAGTATCAAGCTGGACTCCCTTTTACCTTTTACATCCCAAAGGTGCTTTATTGAATTGAGATCAGGTGACTGTTGGAGGCCAGTTGTGAGTGCTGTGAACCTGGACACAGACCAGTACAGTACTTAATAATAAAGTGTTTAGGTAAATGTGTATGAATATTGGTGACATAGCTTATCCCCTTTTTTTTCATCAGATGGATCAACTGTCTGATTACAGCCATACAGAAGCACAAGAAGTTCAACAAAGGCCCAGATAATGAGGAAGGTGTGGAAACATTTCTCTTATGCTTTTAAATTTTTACTCTAAATCACTTAATTGTATGTGCACAATACAATTCATGTTTTCCCATATATTTCCTACGGCATTAGCAATAATGCATCGTGATGTGTCCTGCTTGAGCAAATAAATGGTAGATATAATGATATTTTCACCATAAAAAATAAGAGCAAATTGTAGTCTCATAATTATCTAGTAACACAGAGCATTATTGTTAATTACTGTAGCTTTGCCCATTTACAAATGGCAGTCCTGATGCTTCACATTTTAGGTAATGGCATTACATTGACAGCTGTGTTCATTTATAAACAGAGTGTTACAGTGAAACTGAATCAGAGAGCGAATCATCTCCTTCAACCCGCAGGAAAAACAAGGTTAGCTCGGTAAGAGAGTTATATATTGCACAAATAATCATTAAAGCATGCACATACACATCCAGATTACATTCATTTCATATTTGTCTTGATTATCTTTCTCAGAAGGTACAGTCCAGCACCCTACCTCTCCCCAAGGGTAAGAACAGGGCGCCATTACCTAGACCTACAACAGAGGGCAGCAAAGGAACAGGTATTTGTTATGTCACACTGCCTCTCTCTTGTTCTCTCAGTAATAAAAAATGTCTTTAATCACAGCGTAATGAGTGTTAATATTTTAAGACTCATTAAGTTTTAATATTCTCTGAGAGAGTAAATAAGATTAATTGTGTTGTTTACTTACCTTTAATCCTGTTTTGGATAGATGGTTCACAACAACTGTGTGACTGTGTTTTTTTCCTCCCTTCTGTTAGAACCTGGTCAGGTAGATGAGATGGGCATGATGCTAAACAATCTAAAGGAAGGGGGAGTTTCTCTGATCGGCCACGAGCAGCCGTTCACGCACGACCACTTCAGGAAGTCATTCATTCGGCGCAACAAAAATCCCGTCATCAATGAAAAGGCACTCACGCTCCGAGCTCTGCAAAGCACTCTAAAGGTGAGGAAAGGTCTTATCCAGTCTTACCTTTCCTTGTGTCTGCATGGAAACCCATGCGATTCAGCATTAACTCCAGCAACTGATACACAAAGCTGCGATGGTCCTGGGTCAGTGACCCAGTGTTTTCTGTTTTGTATTATTGATCTTTGATTTCTTGATGTGTCTTTGTTAATGCTTAGAGTTTTGGTTCTTGTGTTTAGTGTTTTGTTATATCTATCCATGTCCTCCCCTAGTGCTCTGTTCGTGTTCCTGAGTTTGTGTTTGTAAAACAGTTTGTAAATTTCCTGTTTTACTTTGAAGGTCTGTGTCTCTCATGTCTAGGTTCAGCTGTGTCCTCTCCTTGTGTGTTTATATAGTGTGGTTTCACCCGTGTTCATTGTCGCTCTGTCTGTGTTATTTGGGGAATCTCGGTGTTTTTCCCTGCGTGTCATTCCGTGAGTTATGGTTTCGGGTTTTGTTTGTTTCTAGTTTTCCCAGTTTAGGTTTATCTTTAGTTCTGTTCTCGCTTTTGTTGTTTTCACCTTCCAAAATAAAGCTCCTTCGCATCACAGCCAGTGCCCACATTTTGGGTCCTTTCTCAAAACACCACACGACTGTTGCTGCAGCCGTGACAGTAGCAGGTACATTTATCACTGAGTGCATGACAAATGGCTCAGCTGGTGAATTAACCAAGCATCTTAATTATCGAAAGTTGCTCTGGCAGGAGCTATATAACAAAATTAAAAACTCAGCTTTTATTAGTAACTCGCTTTGGCCGTAGGGAACATGGAAGACATGGGTAAAACCACTCCTATTTAAAACTGCAACGCACTGTTTCCCACAGCTTGAAATTCACTCGGCGGTGATGGATGGTGTATATATGACAGATATTCCTTAAACTCCTCACATATTGTGAAATGAGAAAGTCTCATCCAAACACCTTCAAATTCAATACTGTTCTTGCTCAGTATCACAGGTGATTTATACTTCTAGTAAGTCTGTGCCGTAGGTAGATTGTAACTGCAAACCTCTCTGAAACCCTACGCCATACCCTGATGTGCACTTTCCTGGAAATGTAACTACACATCTCATGTTCATCTCCTGCTGTTGTTTCAGTTTTTAAATTAAAGAGTGGGAACCCAGGAGGGGAAAAAAGTCCCATCATTCTATTTATTTCTATTGTGGCTGGCACTTCATGTAAAACTGTCCACATAACCACAAGGTAACTGAGACATAGCAGTGTTGGCCACTTATGCGTTGGCTATGCAAATATTCACTGCAGAAATCTAAATATAGGAAAAGAACATTGCATATATGCGCATACAGAGACTCCTCAGTTAAGTAAAGTGTTTGTGCAAGTTTTATGAAATGAGGCATGAATGAAACTATATCAAGAAACTGTCTTGCTCAGAAAGGTTTTTGTGTTCAAATGGTCAGAGGGTGATATTAAAATTCATCTGCATGGTCGCTGACTGGAAATGCTTTTTCTCCACAGGCCAAAGAAGCGGAGTTGCAGCAGATCAACAAGATCCTGGGCGACTCCGATCTGACACCTTCAAAGTACCGTCAGTGGAAGGAGAACAACGAGGAGCTGTTCAAGGAAATCGAGAAACTGGTCTCGCTTAAGGCCTCCAAAGCAGGGGACCATGCACCTGAGCAGGACACGCCCACTGAGGAGGTTGCCCTAGAAACTGTTGCCAAGGAAACAGCCGCCGCAGAGGCAGAAGGCGCATATAGACTAAGCCTTAGCGATGGGGAGCAGTTAGTCGATGCAGAGCCATCTGACGTTCTTCTGGAGATGTCACAAGCGTCTCTGAGCACAGACAGCAGCCCAGTATTAGAACTCTCTCTCGGCTCGCTCCAGGATTCAATAAACAAACAGCTGAGTGAAATGGCACAAAGTGGAGACACTTCAGAGAGCTACTTCTTCATTTAAAGCCACACCAGTTCAAAGTTGCTCTGTTTAATAACAGTTAATAATGTTAGACAAATGAAAGCTTTTCTTCATGCAACAATATGAGACAGCGCAGACGGTTTTTTTCATTGGGAGCAGTTAAAAGTTGTATTAAAAATGGCCACAAAATCAAACATTTTTAAATCAAACATGTCAGTGAAATACATCAATGCATACTTGTTTGTCTTTTTGTTTAGGAAACAAATTTCGATAAATGACAAGTTTACAACAGCAAAGAGAACATGAAATTACCAAGTGTCACAGTCTCAGTTTGGTATATATTTATATAATTTTAAAATTATCATTCTTCTTCTTCTGTGGTTAAAAATACCATCAAGTATGACTTTGCTTGGAACTTGTGATATAAGTTGTACCTTTTGCAATGTGATATGTATGTACAGTTTTACTATAAATACTCTATGTATTTGTTTATTGACATTACCTTAATAAAGGTCCATGTGAATAATTTTGTACACAACTTTTACTCCAGAAACACTGCTATTGCTCGTCTGGGTAAGTCCTTTTCAAACTCCCTTCATGACCTTAATGAGAACCTTTCACCAAAAATTATATATTTAATGAACTTAAACCTCCTAAGACCTGAACTCTTTCATGGCATGCATTTTTAATTTCTCTTTGCTATTTGGGCTGATTGAGACCTGTTGAATGTAAAAACAATATCTTTTTATCTGATTTTGCTCTTCAAGGGCCTGATATGCACCTATGAGGTCACTCAATTTCAATTTTAGTAGAACAGTGGCAGTATAATGTCCTAAGTGGATATCCAGCCCTTGTAGAGCAAAATTTAGTATTGTGGTCTAGACAACCCAAAATTTGGACACCGGGTCCTGGATCCTAGGAGAATAAAGAACAGCTGCGTGACAGCCGAGTTTCTCGATTACCTTTTGCCTGGATCTGCTGTAAATGCACTAAGACAGATGATGTCTTCCTGAATACTAAGACATCCCATGCGACCCTGCTGCTTTATACTGTAACCTTCACTTGCTCAATTAAAAAAAAGAGAGTGTAACGATCACTGAAGAGTGTTATGATGTTTTGTGATTTCCCGCAACTGAGTGGGAGATAACTGCCCAGACTTGGTAAAGTAGTGTGTCTGTGTTTCTAAATGTGTGTGTCTGTCTTCAGTGCATGAATTACACCGTCCTCTGTGTCTGAGACCTCTTTTAAGCCGTCCACTGACGTTTACTACTAAGTAGATAAAATGTTTATTTATGAGCTACTTGTTCTGTGCCAGCAGGTCTCAAAGACCTGCGTTCTCAACCATGATGTGAATTTCTCTCCTCTCCTGAGGTTGTTTGTTGCCAGCTGAAGCGATTGAATTGGTTATTCTCACATCGGATTGCGATCTCTCCACGTGGCTCCAGGCAACGTTCACATCTAACATCTATTCACATAATGTTGCTTGGTTTAAATGCAGTGAACTTGTCTGCCGTACAACATGTGAGATGATCACTCTGGCTCTCGGCCTCGTCTTAAGACAAATAATGTGAATTTATTTCCATATTAAACATGTAAATGTATTTAGCTTCCAGCTAGTGAATTGCATGTGCTCCTATTTCCTGATTTCGTTTTTCTTCATTGCAGCATAACCTACCTAATCTGAAAAGTAATAAATAAATAAATGCAACAGATTGTGATAAATAGTTTTTTATTTAGTGCAACAAATATGAGCACAAAATGACAACACAAACCAGTCATTTGCAAGGAATAGAAAATACCCTTTTGTATATCCTCCTGTGACGCCTTCTTTAATATTCATAGTGCTCATCTTATTCCAGAAATATAATGTTACCCAGTGAAAGCTCCTCCTGTGCTCAAGAGCAGCAAATTCATCAACAAAACAGGATATCACATATAAATGTAAAGCTTTTTTTTTCTGTTAACAACCAGCTTAATACAGATGAAACCGAGTGTGATGACCTTAAGAATTTAAGCTATTTTTTTAGGCTTCTGCTGGCATCATCTATGATTCACAGTTCTGTTCAGACAATTTTCTTCTTAACAGTACAAATGCATGGCTACAACGTAAAGGCAACACAAAGCAATACTTCAATCGTATTTCACCACATGTTGCATTTAAAGGCAGCGTGATGTTGAATCTTTTTCTAACGTGACATTCATCCATTTGTTTTTATTTACACCCCCAGATCATGTTTGTTCCTGTGTTAAAGGAGAGCTACATCCATTATGTTTAAACCTGCATGACAGTTCATTACTAAGCAGCAATGTCTGGTAGTCCACAGTCATTTATGAATTTATGACTTTTCATTACATAAGCTACACACTGAAAAGATAAAAATGGGTTTAGAAAGTGCCCTTAATGCTATTTTTTTTCTCTTTTCTGTCCACGCTTTCTTAAAGTTTAAAATGTTGGACAAGCTTCTAACAACTAACTTCATATACATCCATGTCAGGCTTGTTGGTCATTTCTGGACATGAGTGGCAGGGAGACACAGACAGCTCATGCCTAGATGGGCAGGTTGGGCATCGTGGTCGTTTGAAACTGAAAAGCAAAGCGGCGCCTCCCAACACCTGTAGACACGAACCCAGCCACCCAAAGTAAAGCGAGCCAGCTGGATGCAAGTTGAGGTGTGGGTACCGTGGGTTATGAATCCTTTGACTTGGATCCATCCCGAGTCTTTTAAGGTTGTGGGTGTAAACCCCTAACGCAGTCAGGCTCAGCAGCCCTGCTGTCACCACCAGAAGTCCTCCTGAGGCTGCTACACCTCTTAGAGGGAGATCTGCCCAGCACCGGACCCCGATGCAAGCCAGGACAATGCCAGTGCCGCACAGGAACAATGAGGTTAGCACCAAACCCTGTGCCAGACGAACCCTGGGGTCTCTCTGATACGGACCAGCCACAGGCCAGCACTGCCTCAAGTCAGAGCGCTCCACCTGCAGGCAGCTCTCCCATAGTCCATCAGAGCGCAACAAGATCAGTGCCTCCACTGAACTGGACCTGGTCCCATGACTTTTTGTTCCTGACCGGAGCAGACTTCCCGGTCCTGCCATTCCCAAATGTGCCTGTCCCTCTCTCCACTGGGGGGTGATGGCAGCAGTGAAGACTAGGACCAAACCCAAGGGGGCAAAAACGATCCCCATCACCATGGAGGCTGGAGTGTGCATCTTTTGTTCTCACAAATCCAGCTTGTCAGGAATAAAAAAAATAGTACAGTACCAGTGTTCAGTATGCTACAAATATTTTACAAAACACAAATAACAGTGGTTGTTTCTCCAGACAGAGACATCGCCTGCTGGTCAAATCTTGGCATGGTTTACTCTGCTCTAAAAGAAGAAGAAGAAGAAGAACAGTTAGATAAAATCCTGTGTTTAAAAAAAAATCAATTTGTGTCACAAACATCTCCTCCACTTTCTGACAAGAAACACAAAGAGCTTTAGAGAGCTATAAATAAGACTGTGGCAAATGCAAAGACAGTCACTACAACGATCACAACATTAAAGATTTAACACGATAAAATAAGAAAAAAGCTCGCCCAGTACCTCTTAAACGAAAGTCTCATGTGTTTAATCTGCAGGCTCTTCATTCTGACTGCCTGAGTCAAAGAGAAGGTCAATGCGATGATGAGAGACAGAGAAAAGCAGAGGCAGAGCTGAAGTGGAGTAAACACAAGTGCACGAGCAGACGGAGAAAGCAGAAGGAGGTTTGGCTTCACTGCTCCTGCGCTGGACAGGGAAAAAAAACACACACACACAAAAACCCAGAGCAGTCGATGGCTGCCTCTGTTGCTAGGATACAATAACCTGGCCAGGCTCAACGTGGCAGTATGCGTGTGCGGTTGTGTTTATCACAAGACTTCTCTCTGCACAAGATGTGATGATCTCATGTGTACAAATGGTACAAATGTTGGCATACTTGAGTTTAGTGTGTGCGTGCGTGCGTGCGTATGTGTGTGTATGATGAGTGTGCCACTATTTTTTTTTTTAATGTTTGAGGATTGATGGCCAGCTGTGACCTTGGTAGAATTCAGTCGGGTTAGTAATTATGTGAGGCCACTGTTTGAATGCAGAGTGAGTCTCAGACAGAACAGTAAAGAATGTCCCAGGAGAAGAGGACAGAGTGAAGACGTAAGTGAATCATGCAGACAAACAAGCCGGACATCTCTGTTAAACAAACAACGTCTGCAAAGATGTTATGATGACAATGCTGTAAGACGTGGCTCACTGTGTTTTTGCAAAGGAGGACGACTAGAAATGTTGAGGCTGTTTCTTATAATAATAATAATAATAATAATAATAATAATAATAATAAGCAGAAAATTATTATACCAAGCAAAATGTGTTTACACAAAAAAGTTTTTAACAAAGAAAAGTATTTTTATCTAAGGCACATGATGATAAAGTGTCACAAAACATGCAAGCTGTTAGTGAGCTGTACACATAAGAATGCAAACATTTAAAAAGTAAAAAAAAAAAGTGCAACTATAGTTTAACATATCAGATATTACACAGATTCTTATCCATCATTAATTGTTTAATCATCTTTTCTTTATTATTACAAATTATATATATATATATATATATATATATATATATATGATCCTGCATCTGAAGGTTAAGAAAACAAAGGAATGCCTATTTTTAAGCTTAACTTATAACTTACAGGAAGATATTGATCCAACAGCAATCACATTTGTAAATCTGACCTATAATTGATGGCGAGATATTACTTCCAGCAATGTCGCTTGGGAGCTGATGACATATAGCGTGACTGAGTCAGTCTTGTTCCTCTTTAATTTAATTGGAGATTACACTTTGCAAAGAAGCAGCTGTGGGCAGGAAAGGACAGAACGTACTAGAAAAATATTGTTTTAAACGTGCAGAGACAATTGTAGAATTTAGAGTAGAAATTTTGCATGAGAATGCATGTCTGGATGTGGATGCGGGACACAAGCTTCATAAACACAAATATCACTTGCTTGACTTTAGTGACATGACATAAAAATCATAGAAGATGACAGAGACAAGAATCAAAGCTCTGAGCCACCTGTGAGGGCTTTCATGTGCACCACAAAGTCTCACTTAGGTATGAATTATGTTCTATACACACTTGTTACTCTTGCAGCTGTCGCATTGCCAAGTCCATTGATTACTGCCACTGTAATGACTGTAAATGCAGTGCAGCTCCCTGAGGTGCTTGATTAGGTTTGATGCAGAAAAGAAAGACATAAAAAGGTCAGTCATGAGCCAAAAAATTCCAAGCATGCAGTACATTTTTAATAGCATTTTCCCTCATGAAGGCGTATTTGGAGCAAATACAAACACATGCACGCACACCGACACAGTCCATGAAGTAGCAGTCACTTACCATTCAGGAGGGGTTTGTTTGTATCTCACTGCAGATCGCTGGCTGCCTCCCTGCTGTCGTCTGAATGGCTAACATGTTTCTCTCTGTGGGAGCAGATGGTGCGACGACTTCTTTATTGTTCTTTTCCCTCTTTCTTCTCATCTGCCCTTGCTTTAAAAATTTCTCCACTTGCCTCTGCAACAATTTCCTCTGTCTTCATGTCTGTGTCCTTGTGTCTGCCCCCTCCTCTTTTTTTCCCCCCTGGCTGCTTCCTCAGCTGTCTGCTTCTCTTCCCCGCTATCCCACTTTCTCCTGGATGTGTTTCTCTCTTTGACTTGCCAATGTCTGTGTTATATCTAGGACAGTCCCTCCCTGCTTTTCCCTGTCGCTGTTGCCAAGTAGGGAATGTGGGGAGCTTTCTGAGTAATACCAACACTTCAATCTGCCTGTTTTCGACCACATAGAGGTGTTCGAAAATCAAAATCTGACTGCTTATTGTTTGCCTTTTTATGAATCCTGTTTTGTTTTGAGAACACGGACATAGGGACACAAGCTTGCACAATCACTCCCACACTGGCAGGTGTCCCAATTTATGTGGGACTGCAGAGCATTTTTATCCTTTTTCCTTCATGCCACATTTTGATTGGCTGAAACATGAAGTAAACACTGCAAGACAGGCACTGCAAAAGGGAAGAGAAGGCAGTCATAGTGGTCAAAGGGTAGTTTAACCTGTAGGTGTCTTTGGCTGGATACACTTTGAACATGGAAAGGTGTGAGCCACTAAAAAGTCACAGTTTGTGGAGATGCATTGGAGAAATACTGTATGATGGAAACTACTACAAACCTAGAAATGTCTTGATTGTTAGAGTTTTAATGTCAAAAAGAGATGCATACAGCTGCAACCCCAATAAAGCCTCAGGACAAAGAAGTTCCGTCACATGCCAGATCTATAACTCTTTCAGTTTGTGTGAAAAAAGTACAGAAGCACCTACAGCAACATTGCTTTCTGTATGACCTTTACTCTCAAGGTCCTGCCACAGCATTTCAATTGGGTTGAGGTCCAGACATTCTGTTGTTCCTGGGATCACTGTCATGTTGTATGACCCAGTTTTAGCTTTAAAATTAGCTGTTGGACCGATGATCACATACTTGATTCTAGTGTAGACTCCAAGCTGCCTCGGTCCGAGTAAAAGGCTGTTAAACAATTGCAAAACAATTCTTCATACCTCCACCACTGTGCTCTACTGTTGGACAGTTGGTATGAGGTGCTTCCTGTGCTTCCTGCCTCTGTTTATCATGCTTTCACATCTCCTTTCCTAAGGACTTTGATCCAGACATCTTGTTGTTCATATGCAACATTGTAAACCTAAGATGTATTTTTTTTTAGCATTGCACGACCTGACTTTTGGGTGAATTTGCAAGGACATCCATCCCTGAGAACATTGTGGCAATTCACCCGAAAGACAAAACTCCTAAACACAAACTTAACAATGTGGTGTATGCTGTACAGTGCAGCGAGGAATGCTCAGACCTCTACATTGGAGAGACCAAACAGCCACTTCACAAGCGCACGGCAGTCCATCTGCATCTTAAGGATAAAGGACACTCTTTTGAGGATGCCAATGTTCACATTTTGGACAGAGAGGAAAGAGGAGTGAAAGAAGCCATCTATGTCCACTGTGAGCGACCATCTTTGAACAGAGGCGGGGGTTTACGACACCAACTCTTTGCCATCTATAATCCAGTTTTGAGATCCCTTCCCAGACGCCTTAACGCCCACTCACATCCTGGGCCATCTGACCTCAGGAATTCGCATGATAAGGTGGGGCCAGGTTTCACAATGAACACACCCGAAACTCTGGCTGATTGGGACCCACACCCAGTTTCACACCTTGGCTCAGGCAATTAGAGGATCATCAGGGGGTCCTTTTGTCCCTCTGTGGGGGGTTACTCCCACTAGGTTTATATCTGGGACTCTCCACCATTTGACCTTAGAACTGAAGAAGCTTCTCGGATGAGAGGTGAAACATCTTCAAGCAACTTAAAGAAGTCCAGACGCTTTTCTTTGCAAGCTCCTTTGACTACGATGACCTGGATGACTGAGAACCTTCACAGACACATTGTGGCAATGTGTTAACACACACCTGAATCTTCTGGACCAGCAAACCACCAAAACATCTGCTTTTACAAAGGTTCTCACACTTCCTGATGATCAATTAAAACAAAGCAGCACCTAGCTGCTACTTAACCCCTTAATTCCTATGGAGGCAATTAGACAGTACTTCATTTTTTTACAGGACTGCAAAGTCTTGTGAAAACTTTGTTTTTCAATGCTTTTCACTTTTATTGACACCTCTCACAATGTCTCATGCAAATATACTATTTTCTGCACATTTTGTCTGTTGGAGTCTGAATAACACACACACACACACACACACACACACACACACACACACACACACACACACACACACACACACACACACACACACACACACACCTATTTAACATTTATGCTTTCAGAATATGAGAGGACCAATCTCAGGCACAGATCAGTTTCATGCTTTTGTTTGATGTGTAGAGAGAGCAATCAGCTCTTTCTGAATTTTCCAATATGCACTTAATCTCCTAGGCTAATTGTAATTATTCACACCTCCTCTACACAAGTGGTATCTTTTGTTTTTCCCACTGCTAATTTATCTCTTTTTTATTTCAGTTAGAGCTGTAAAAACAGAAACAGACCCCAAATCTCTTATGCATTTTCTTTATTTTCATACAAAAGGGCCAATGCTTGACCAATATAACCTGATTGTAAAATTATGAAATAACGCAGGGATACATGCACGCTTTGAAATGATGCATAATGTATAAAGAAACAAACAAGTTTTTACACATGCATATACATGCACACAGTGAAAGTCCTCTGGCTGGGTTGAGGGTGTTTTTGAAGTGTTTCCAGAAAAAAAAAATTTGTGATATCACCATACAGTCAGGAAATGTCCACAATTTAGGGGCTAAATGATGACCAATACTAACTCATGTGTGGTTTTAAGGGTGGAAATGTCTGACTTTAGGTTCTGAATGCAACCCAGTGTTGGGTGATCTCGGTTGTGAAACTAACAGGAACCTAGAGGAGGATACTTTTGGCAGTAAAAAAAATAGTGACAGCAGACTGAGAGTAAGAAAAAAACGCACCATTGTGTTTTTATAGAAGAAATGATGAGTACATCGCAAGCAGCTAGAATAGTAACCTATAAAAATGCTTAAAAAATGCTGTGCACAAATCATGCACGGAGCTCTTTCAATAAAAATGAAATACATAGCAGTTTATGGAAACTGGTATTCTATATGTACACAGATAGCTCATACAACACTGTCTTCTTAAAACCTATTTACATTAAATACATAAAGGGCTGCTGAGCATTATTGCTCTGACGTTAACACAATCACAAGAACGGGGAAGAAGAATGATATGTACAACATTTTAGGCAGAAGTAAAAAACTGGGGTGCTGCTTTCACTTCAGTTTTCTTCTCGCTTTTTGGAAGTCCACATCCTACATTCTGTCTGCTCAGGCAGTGCTTCAAGAAATTGATCAAACTGGCATCTTTATTTCTTCATCCTTCAGCAGAGTGGGTGGCTGATTCTTCTCATACTTCAACAAGGGTAACCTGGAACTGACCGTTGCCCAACTCGGAAACCTCGATGAGGAATGCTGACTGGTTGGTGTAGTGTTGGATGATGTTGTCATCCATGTTGACAAAGATCCTGTTGGGGAGACAAACAAAAAGACAGGGTTACTCCGGGGACTGTGGAGAAACAAGGTGCAAAACCATTAACCTATTTAGAGAAAATCATATTCGTCTCTAAAACTGCGGTGTTCAAACAGCCTAATAATGTGTTCAGTGTACTCAACCTTTCACCCTGGTGTGACACAAACAGGTTGCCAGGGTTAAAGACAACATGTCTTTTGTTTGGAAGAAGATCTCAAGTGAAAGACAGAGGCGGTATATCTCCTGCATCAGTAGGAGTTAAAAATCAGGTCACCCTGTTCTTCCGCCTCCTCCTCCTCTGCAGCACTAACACTAGCCTTTAAGGCTGTAATGACTGAACTAACCACTGGCCCGTGCATTCTGCCTGCAAGGACAGGATTGATTGAAGACAAGAGCAATAGACAGGGAGGGAACTGCAGGGAGAATGTAACCCAACCTGTTAGTTTAGCTGCTCCCCCTGCAGTGATTGCTTCCAGCAAGCAGCAGGAAAATTACCCAAAGGTGTTTCAGCTACTGACAGTAAGTCTCAAAAAGAAAAAGCACAGACTATCAACAGTTTGTCAGCCACATAGAAATTCTGCTAATTATTCTTTCGCGGCTAGTTGTAAACCCTTCCTATCTAAAATAACAAGCATCCGTATTCATCGTGGAAAAAGCGCAGCTACCTGTATGACCTTTCGCCATTGAGCTGAAAGACACGTGACAATTGTAAACCTGACAGACAGCCTTCAGCTAGCGAGTGGAAACATCCAAAGCCTTTATCATATCAGGAATTTCGTCTTTCAATGCCGCTTTCTGATGTTCCAAAGAGATAATGTTATGAAAACATAAATAAGTACAGCCATTGCCAGTGACTCAACAGCAGGACTTAAAAAAATCTTTTCATCTTCTTTCAGTCATATAGTTTTCCTTTAGAAGAGCTGCAATTAAAACATTCCAGGGCCGAGCCAACTAACCTACCCGCCCGGTTTGTCAACAAGCGCTTCCTTAAGGGAAGATAAGATTAAAACAACAAAATAAGCCCAAAATCAATGCAAATCATGGCGACAGGTGCACTTGGTGAGACTAACTAGTCTATCCATCTGTCTGCAACACAGGAGCCTGTCTGAGATATCACAGGGTGAGAGGTAGGGTATCAGCAACCTCGGAAAGGTTGGAGGGCCAAGACAACCATTCACTTTCACTATGGTTAATTCCTCAAAAAATGTTTGGATTGGAAAAGAAAGCTTCTTAGTGCCACCAATGATCTCAGTTGTTTTTGGTAATTTGTAAAATCACAGTCATAACAAAAGAACAGGACGCTCACCCTCTCCTGCATTTTTTGTAGATTTTCCCGATGGTTTCTTTTTGCAGGCCGTACTTTTCTGAAATCTGAGGAAAGTAAAGGAACGAGAAGACTGTTAGCATGATCTGATGAAAGAAATATGATATTCACTTTTGGCAAAAAGGTATGGTACAAATGTTCCAGTGCATACAGAAGTAAACAGGTGAAGGTGCTTTTGATCCCCACCTCAGGAAACTCAAGTCAGAGGACTCTGGAATGTGTTTTTGTGTGTCTTTAAAGCAATCATGTGATACTTACAGCTTCTCGCAAGCCCGACAGCGTTGGCGAGTTGAGCATGAGGG